CCCCAGGCCTCTGGGCTCTATTCTTGGGAGACCCTACGATTTCTCGCCCAAAATCAACCCATACACCCCACCTGGCCGCCACCTCGCCCCCACCTGGCCCCGACACCCCCACGCCTCTGGGCTGTTCTTCAGACCCCCGACCCGGCGATTTCTCGCCCAGAATCGACCCATACCCCCCCCCCCCCCTTCCCCCCCACCTGGCCGCCGCCTCGCTCCCACCTGGCCCCGACGCCCACAAGCCTCTGGGCTCTGTTCTTGGGACCCCCGACTCCGCGATGTCTGGCCCAAAATCGACCCATACCTCCCACCTGGCCGCCACCTCGCCCCCACCTGGCCCCGACACCCCCAGGCCTCTGGGCTCTGTTCTTGGGACTCCCGACCCCGCGATTTCCCCACAAGCGACCCCGCCGACCTGCCGCCACCTCGCCCCCGCCTGGCCCCGACGCCCCCAGGCCTCTGGGCGTTCTTGGGACCTCCGACCCCGAGATTTCTCGCCCAAATTCGACCCATGCCCCCCGACTGGCCGCCACCTCGCCCCCACCTGGCCCCGACACCCCCAGGCCTCTGGGCTGTTCTTGGGGCCCCCGACCCCACGATTTCTCGCCCAAATCGACCCATGCCCCCACCTGGCCGCCACCTCGCCCCACCTGGCCCCGACGCCCCCAGGCCTCTGGGCTCTGTTCTGGGACCCCCGACCCCCGCGATTTCTCGCCCAAAATCGGCCCATGCCCCCCGCGTGGCCGCCACCTCGCCCCCACCTGGCCCCGACACCCCCAGGCCTCTGGGCTGTTCTTGGGGCCCCCGACCCTGCGATTTCTCGCCCAACATCAACCCATGCCCCTCACCTGGCCGCCACCTCGCCCTCACCAGGCCCCGACGCCCCCCGGCCTCTGGGCTCTGTTCCTGGGACCACCGACCCCAAGATTTCTCGCCCAAAATCGACCCATACTCCCCCCCACCTGGCCGCCACCTCGCACCCACCTGGCCCCGACACCCCCGGGCCTCTGGGCTCTGTTCTTGGGACCCCCGACCCCGCAATCTCTCGCCCAAAATCGACCCATGCCAGCCACCTGGCCGCCGCCTCGCCCCCACCTGGCCCTGGCGCCCCCAAGCCTCTCGGCTCTGTTCTTGGGTCCCCCGACCCCACGATTTCTCGCCCAAAATCGACCCACACCCCCCACCTGGCCGCCACCTCGCCCCCACCTGGCCCCGCCACCGCCGCCCCCATGCCTCTGGACTTTGTTCATGAAGCCCCCGACCCCGCGATTTCTCGCCCAAAATCGACCATGCCCCCCCCCCCCCCCCCACACCCACCTGGCTGCCACCTCGCCCCCACCTGGCCACGCCACCCCCAGGCCTCTGGGCTCTGTTCTTGGGACCCCCGACCTCACGATTTCTCGTCCAAAATCGACCCATACCCCCCACCTGGCCGCCACCTCGCCCCCGCCTGCCCGACCCCCCAGGCCAGGATTTGTCGCCCAAACATGACCCACATCCTCACCACTATGGGGCCTCTCCTTTTGGAACTCCACATGATCAGCATACTACTATTTTGCATCCTTGCCAGCATGCCTCTCCTAGTCTCCCCGCAACATGCTTCGCGACTGGCGCGCGTTTCCGTCGTCCCTCTTGTCGGCTGTGGCAACAGCTACCCAGTCTTACGGTCTTTCGTCACCGACGCGTGGCTCCGCTCAGCGACTTCCTCCCTTTTGCGCTCTTGGCCAGCGCAGCACTCGTTGCACCTTTGCTTTCCATTCGCCTTCTGCGACGTTCGCCCGGCCAACCAGCTGCTGTATTCTTCCCTGCCGAAAACGTCTTTGCATTGGGCGCATTTCCATTTCCCCCGCTCCAGCTTCGCGTCGTCGATGCATCGCTTGCACTTGCGGTGCTGATCTGCCGCGCCGTCCCACATCCAAACTGAAAAGGAATCTTGCTCTTGCGCCTTCTCGCACACTACACAAGCTCTCACTTTCTTCCTCCCTGCAGCGATGCACTGCTTGCACTTACGATGCAAATCAGCCACGCCGCACCACATCCTATCTGAAAAACAATCGTGCCGTTGCGCCTTCTCGCACACCGCGCACATTTTCATGTCCTTCTTCGGCGCAGCGACGCAGCGCTTGCACTTGCGGTGCAGATCTGCGACGCCGTTCCACATCCAATCCGAAAAACAATCTTGCCGTTGCGCCTTCTCGCACACCACGCAAGTTTTAATGTCCTTCCTCGCCGCCTTGTCCCGCCCTGCTGCTGCAGCGTTTACGCATTCCCTACATTGCATCGACGCTGTCGGCGCGTTCTTCAACATGTACTCTGACAACTCGGTTCTCCTTTTGGGGATTCCGCATTTGGAACACACGCGCTCTTTTGCCTCTTCGGCACGGGCCTTCTCCTCCTCTCTCTGCAATCTCTTACAAGCCTTGCATGCGGGCTCCTCGTTGATAATAGTTTCCGCTTTCGCAAATTGATCTAGTAACTTCTGCTCGCCGCAGCGCGAACACTGCAGGTGCTTCTTCAGCTCCTCGCACTCAAGGCACATTCCCCCTTTGCACCGGGCGTTCCCTGCCTTCTCCCATTGGAAGTCTACGAACGCATCCTCGTACTTCCGCCCCTCGCATACGTAACACTTTCGCCTCTCGGGACAGTCCACGCAACGCCGTGACGTGAGCTTCGAGCTGTGGCGCTGGGACGCATGGAAAGCATCCTGGCCCTTCCACAGAAAGCATTCCGTGCACTGCCACGGCGTGCCAATGCTCTTCTTGCCTTCCAAGCACACCTTGCGCACGCGGCGACCGTCGTCCCGGCTCCACTGCCCGAGCGCGTACTGGTTCTTGTACTTCACCGACGAGCACAGTGCGCACGTCCCTGCAGGCATGAACTCCTTCTCGATTGCCTCCCAGTCCATCGGGTCCCCCCGCAACACCTGTAACAATAATCCGGGCCCCTTCCGCTCCTTCTGAGTGCGCGGCGCACGGTCGAAAGGCCGAAATATCAACATGTCTTCGCGGCGACGCACGCGCGTCAGAGCCGCATGACTCGACAACGGCGACGTGCCCCCGCCAATCCTGAGGTCCACGATGACACCCTGCTTAAAAGTCTGGCCCTGTGCTGAATGGGCGGTGACTCCAAACGCTGGGGCCGAGGGGAACTGCCGCCGCTTCACTTTCAGACGCGGGTGCGGCCTGCCCTTGTCGACGAACCAATCTTTTTTCTGCGGGGTCGCGGGGTGCCGGCCCGGCGTCTTCAGCCCCTGTGTCGTCCACTTGCACGGAATCGCGTTCCCTGCGTCATCGCGACCCTCATCGAAGAGGACAAATATCACTTTCGGCGTCTTCTGCAATATGGTCTCTCCCCCCGGGAGACGCGACCTGCTCCTTCGTCGCCATCGCACACCCATGAGTGCACGGCCCCCACGCGTCCGCGGAGTAGGTACTTGTCCTCGCTGCGGTCGATATGATCTGTGAGGGCCACAGGCATTCCCTCCGCGACTGGCAAAAAACCATACAGGTCTCCGCTCTCCTTGTCGTGACGCTTACTCCTGCGAGTCCCACCCACTAGCCCATCTGCTTGTTTCGGACGGCAAAGCACCAGAAGGTTCACGACCCTGCGGGAGCGCCGCGACACTCGCGGCAACAGCGGGGCAGTGATCGCGCGAGGACTGAAATGGACAATCTCTGACTTCCCCAAAACCTCGAAAAAACCCGAAACCCAGGATGTCCCAACAAAACACCTGCAGAGCCTTCTTTGGGGTCGGCGGCAGAGGCGGCAGCCTTTAGATAAGAAGAGGAAGAAAAATAGTAAGAAGGACAACGACGACGGCGACGACGAAGGAGGACGGTAAGGAGCCCGAGGAAGAGGACGTCGAAGAAGGGGGCATCCTCGTGATCTGTCCAGGCTACCCTGGGGCTTTGGGGGCCGTCTGGGGCTATCTTGGGGCATCCAGGCGGTCTCTTGGGGGCCTGTCGGGGTCCTCTTGGGGGCTAGGTCTTCTTGGGCTATGTGGGCGTGTCTCAGGGTTCTGTGGGGGGCTCTATCAAGCCGTTTTGGCGCCGTCTTGGGCTGTCTTGGGCCGTCAGGGGGCCTCCTGGGGCTCTCTTTAGGGGCCTCTGTGGGTCCTTCTTGGGTCCTCCGGGAGGCCTCTGGTGGGCTTTTTGGGGGCCATGGCTGGCCCCTCCAAGAGCGAAGCCAAGACGATGTTGATTCGAGGCTTCCTCCGAAACTAGTTTGAGGATGTCTCGAGCGAAACCGCCATTTTTCAGAAACCGGATCGGATAGGGGGGAAAGAAGAGAAGGATGATAGCGACGACAAGGCGGCGGATGACGAGGATGACAGCGAGGATGATGGGGAGGGCAGCGAAGGCAGCAGGAGGACAACGAGCAGGAAGACAAGCACGAAGACGAGGGGGGAAGAGATGAAAAAATCACGTACGAGCAGGAACGAACACGAGGATGAGGAGGAGCAGATGGAGGAGAAGGACAAGAAGGACGACGACGACGACGACGATTATACCTCGACGCCGCCCTTATAACTAGAAGCAAGGGTTGCAGATCTTTCCCAAACGGGGCTGTCGCCTAAATTGCAGTTTCAAATGGGTACGTCCTGCAGTGAAAATAAATTCCTGTAGAAATCCTGTATTCCTATAGTTGCTGGTTCATGGGGGACTTACGACGGGCGGGCGTACTGCAGCATCGTTCATTAATCTTGGGTTTACCCTGGTCCTCCTCCTCTTCTTCCACAACCTCATCCTCATCCTCCTCCTTCCCCTGAACCCCCAAACCCTGTTTCTTTTGCTCCTGCTTCTGATCCCACTCCAATCCTTCTTCTGTGAGTTCCTCTTCATCCTCCATTTCACCTACTCCTTCCTCCTCGTCTTCCTCCTCCTCCTCAGCATCAGTCAGAATCGGGGAGAAAGATGAGACCAGTAGCTGATCAGCCGTGCTATCCGAAATGTCACTACTCACGATCCATGGGCCGATGCATGACCACGAACTGAGGCGAGCTCCTGCAGAACCACGCCGTTCAGCGGCTGCTGGCGGGGAGGACCTCGCGCAGGCGTCTCCGAGCAATGATTGTCATCCTCCGCATGCTCATCGCCATCACCATCGTCATCACCACCACCGTTGACACTCTCGGGAAAACTAGTCAGCCTGCACGTCTGCGGAAAAGGATCCAGGGAGGTTTCTGCGGCCAGGTGCGCGACGTCTCCTCCAGTTGGCTGCCTATGGCTGTGTATGTGCATGTGGTACGCGTTCGGGCTACGGTTTAATAGATGAGGCAAGTGGTGATGATGGTGTGAGAGTGATTGAGTGCGTGATAGTGCGGTCGTGTGTGGTGAGTATGTGACTGATGTTGATGGGGTGAATAAGTGTGCGTGATTAGTTGCGTACTAGAGTGATCGTGCGTGGTGAATGTGTGTGACTGATGATGATGGTGCGAATGATTGAGTGAATGAGTGTGCGAAGGGAGAAGAAGCTGAAGGTGCTATGATGATGGTGCGTGAGTGATTGAGCGAGTTAACGTGAGAAGGCAGAAGAGGAGAGGGGGTGAGGTGACAGGACTGCGCGGGGTGTCCAGAGAAAACAAGAACCACACTTAGGATGTGGGGAAGTAATGAAATATGGAAAATTTTGCGTGAAACAGAAGACTGCAAACACAATACGGCAAAATGGAAACCTTGAACAGTTCGCGAGGTACATTAAAACATTGAGCAACACACAAAGGCCGCGATACTCGGAATCCGTTTGAACTCCACTGCATAAGGAAGCCTGTTGTAACCCGCCACAAAAGACACTAGGAATCCGTTTGTAATGTGTCGCAAAGGGCATACATGTGTAATCTGCACAACAAATATCAAAAGAAAATTGAAAAATTGCCGCTACTATCGTAATCTTTCTTTCACCCACTACAAAGGAATCCTTGTGCAACCCGCCACTAGGAGAATCGGTCTGCTACCCGCGACAACGAAAATTCGTGTAATCCGCCACACAAGGCATCAGATCGGAACGGCGACACAAGAAACTCTTCCGTAATGCACCTCAAAGGGAATCACCTTGCAGGATGTATTAAGGAGTCCTCGACCAGAAGCCTGCGCGGCGAAAGGAGGACTCGAGGGCAAGCATCCAAAAGACAGGTACGAGCCTGCTGTAAGGGTAGAGCTGCGCGCGGCACACAATGACCGACAGAGGCTTCTCCTCACGCCTGCTCCCAAAGCTGTTCCTCCTCCACCTTCATCACCTTACCTCTTCCCCCCCAGAGTTCCTCCCCACCGCCATCCCAACCATTATCCCGAATTCCTCCCTGGTAATCCGCCTCCTCGTCATCAACAACAACATTATCATCGTCGTCATCATCATCACCATCATCATCATGAGCATCATCATCCTCGTCATCATCATCATCATCATCATCATCATCATCATCATCATCATCATCATCATCATCATCATCATCATCGTCATCGTCATCATCATCATAATCATAATCATAATGAGAATCATCATCAGCTTCGTCGTCGTCCTTCTCATCATTCTCCTCATCCTTCTCATCATTCTCATCATTGTCGTCCGCGCCCTCTTCCTCATCCTCGTCCTGGTCCGCCTCATCTTCCTCCGCCGCCTCCACCTCCTCCTCCGCTTCCTTCTCCTCATGATCATCCTCATCATCATCATAAGCAGCATCATCATCATCATTGTTTCTTCCTCGTCACCTCAATCATGATAATCCTCATCGTCGTCCTCATCATCATCGGTATCACCATCACTCAGCATCGTCATCATCATAATCGGCATCATCAGCATCACCATCATCATCATCGTCCTCATCATAGTAAGCATCATCATCATCATCATGAGCAGCATCATCGGAGGTTGGGGGGTGAGATCGCAGTGTAACGGAGTCCCCCCACCAGGAAATCGAGTTTTGAGTTCGTGCTCGTGCCGTGCGTGCGGGCGAGGCGAAGCTGCGTGGGCCAGCAAGAGGAATTCACTCTGCTGTCGCTAGGGGTCCGCCAACACCAATGTTTCCCCCCCCGGTGTTGTCAAGCGGTGGCCCGCATTGTCCCGTCGGTTGCCCGCCGGTTGCTCGCCATGGTTGCTCATCATGGTTGCTCATCTTGGTTGCTCATCATTGTCCCGCCGGTTGCTCACCATGGTTGCTCATCATTGTCCCGCCGGTTGCTCATCATGGTTGCTCATCATGGTTGCTCATCATGGTTGCTCATCATTGTCCCGCCGGTTGCTCATCATGGTTGCTCAGCAGCGGCAAACCGAACGACACAAGTCGCCCAAGCGAAGGAACAAAAAAAAATCCACCACGTCATCCACACCATCATCGCCCATCATCACCACGTTCAACACAGTTGTCGTCATGAGCCACCCCCCTCCCCCCACCACCCCACAACCTCCTTATCACCCGCAAGGTGGTCGTATAGGTAATCGTCATGATCATCATCAGCAGCAGCATCATCATCACCATCATCATCAGCATCATCAGCATCCGCATCCCTATCCACATTGTCATCGCCAGCCCGATCATCCTCAGCAGCAGCAGCGTAATCATCAACATCATCAGCATCATCAGCAGCAGCATCATCGGCATGATCATCATCATCATCATCATCATCAGCAGCAGCAGCATCATCATCATCACCACCACCACCACCACCATCATCATCATCATCATCATCGCCGTCGTCTTTATCGTCATCACCATCCGCATCATAAACAGCATCAGCATTATCATCATCGTCACCATTAGCATCATCATCATCATCATGATCATCGTCATCATCATCGTCATCGTCATCATCATCGCCATCACAGTCATCATCATCATCAGCAGCAGCATCATCGTCATCACCGTCATCGCTATCGTCATCGCCAGCGCCATCATCATCATCAGCAGCATCATCATCATCATCAGCATCATCACCACCATCATCAGCAGCATCTGCATCATCCTCATCCTCATCATCATCCGAATTCCAAATCATCAGCATCATGAGCATCCCCTCCTCATCATGATCACCATCATCAGCATCATCATCATCATCGTCATCAGCACCATCATCATCACTATCATCTGCAAAATCATCATCGTCGTCGTCATCGTCTTCGTTATCATGCATCGGTATCATCCCCAGCAGCAGCAAGAATAGCATGATCATCATCATCATTGGCAACATCGTCATCGTCATGATCAACAGCATCATCAGAATCATCGTCATCGTCCTCATCATCACCATCACCACCTGTCATCTTTATCATCATCATTACCCTCATCAGCACCATCATCATTGCTATCATAATCATCCTCAGCATCATCATAACCATCATCGTCGTCCATCGTCCATCGTCCACCGTACATCGCCACCATCAGCACCATCATCATAATCCTCGTCATCAGCACCAGCATAATCGTCGTCATCATCATCAGAATCAGCATCATCATCAGCATCAGCATGAGCATCAACATCAGCATCAGAACAGCCTCAGCAGCATCATCATCAGCAGCCTCATCATCGTCGTCAGCAACATCATCATCATCGTCATCATCATCGTCATCATCATCGACATCATCATCATTATTGTCATCGTCGCCATCAACATCTATCCTCATCATAATCATCAGCAGCATCATCATCACCATTAGCATCAGCAACAAGGACAGTACCATCATAATCAACAGCATCATTGTCCTCATCATCATATCATCATCATCATCATCACCATCATCATCATCATCATCATCATCATCATCATCATCATCGCCATCATTGACATCATCATCACCATCATCATCAACACCGTCATCCTCATAATCGTCGTCGTCATCATCATCACCATCATCATCGTCGTTCGTCCATCGTCCATCGTCCATCGTCAATCGTCATCATCAGTATCACCATCATAATCGTCATCATCAGCACCAGCACAATCGTCAACATTATATGCCTCCTCATCATCATCAGCAGCATCATCAGATTCGTCATCGTCATCATCACCACCATCATGTGTCAGCATCATCGGCAGCAGTAGCTGCAGTAGCATCATCACCATCATCATTGGCATCATCAACATCAAAATCAACATCAACAGCATCAGCATCATCATCTTCAGTATCATCATCACCATCATCATCATCACCATCATCATCATCATCATCATCATCATCATCATCATCATCATCTGCCGATTCCGCCCCTTCCTCAGTCGCCGTACCCGCCTTCGCCCCAACATCCGCAGCAGCCCCGTTAGACACCTCCTCCTCCTCCTCCTCCTCCTGTGCCCCTGTCTCTCCCTCCCCCCTCCCTCGCACTTACCCTCGGGTAGAGAGGGGCCCTGGAACGCACGGAAAACAGGGGCGGCGGAAGCACGTCGATGGGCTCCGCAGAAACTCCGGCGGCAGGCGGCAGCTGCCTCAGGCCACCCCCCCTGGGAAGCCGGAACCGCAGGGCGGCGCCCGACGAGAACGGCCCGCCCCGTCGCCCCGCCTGGAGCTCAGGGGAGTTCCCCGCCGCAGCGAGTCCGCCTCGAGCAGGGAGGGAAAAGAGCGGGGAGGGATCAGAAGGGAGAGCAGGGGAGAGAGAGAGGTAGGGAGAGAGAGAGACAGGAGAACGACCAGATGTGTGGAGCGCAACTTGCCGCAAGCCTATCTCACACGCACATCCCCAACCAAACGGTGTGGTGTTCTTTTGCTCGCAGTCGTTGGCATGGAACCGCTATTTGAGGATGTCCACGATTGCGGACATGAAGGATAAAAAGTATGCGTCGCTTCACGCTGGATGTGGCACGTAGGTGCGAGAACGATCCGCATGCACTGGATCGATTCCATCCTGAATGATTCCATACCGGCAGCCAGCAAATAGATGTATGCGACTTTGTGGAGCCACAAAGTGATGATCACGGAGCTTGGCAGTCGATACTGATACCAATTATCCCAGAGCGACCCTACCTAGGAGTTGGAGCCCCGAGGAGAGCAATATTAGTAGTAACGGTAAACGCCGTCCTCCTCCTTCTCCTCATCGTCGCAGTAGTAGTAGTAGTAGTAGTAGTAGTAGTAGTAGTAGTAGTAGTAGTAGTAGTAGTAGTAGTAGTAGTAGTAGTAGTAGTAGTAGTAGTAGTAGTAGTAGTAGTAGTAGTAGTAGTAGTAGGTAGTAGGTAGTAGTAGTAGGTAGTAGTAGTAGTAGTAGTAGTAGTAGTAGTAGTAGTAGTAGTAGTAGTAGTAGTAGTAGTAGTAGTAGTAGTAGTAGTAGTAGTAGTAGTAGTAGTAGTAGTAGTAGTAGTAGTAGTAGTAGTAGTAGTAGTAGTAGTAGTAGTAGTAGTAGTAGTAGTAGTAGTAGTAGTAGTAGTAGTAGTAGTAGTAGTAGTAGTAGTAGCGTAGTAGTAGTAGTAGGTCGTATAGTAGTAGTAGTAGTAGTAGTAGTAGTAGTAGTAGTATAGTAGTAGAGTAGTAGTAGTAGTAGTAGTAGTAGTAGTAGTAGTAGTAGCGGTGGTAGTAGTAGTAGTAATGAGTAGTGAGTAGTAGTAGTAGCAGCAGCAGCAGCAGTAGTAGTAGTAGTAGTAATAGTAGTAGTAGTAGTAGTAGTAGTGAGTAGTGAGTAGTAGTAGTAGTAGTAGTAGTAGTAGTAGTAGTAGTAGTAGTAGTAGTAGTAGTAGTAGTAGTAGTACAGCGTAATACCTGCATCTACATCTGGACCTACATCCACATCTACACCTACAGCGACATGTACATGTACACATACATCTACATCTTCATCTACATACACAACTACACTCACATCTATGCGATGCTAGGTTATACTATGATGTGCTACGCTGCGCTATGCTATGCTATGTTATGGTATACTGCGCTATGATATGATATGTGATGCTATGCTATGATATGATATGATATGATATGCTGCGCTGTGCTATGATAAGCTAAGCTAAGCTAAGCTATGCTATGATACGCTATGTTATGCTGCGTTATGATATGATGTGATATGATATGATATGCTGCGCTATGCTATGCTGCGCTATGTTATGCTATGGTATGTTATGGTATGATATGATATGCTATTAGATGCTATGATATGATAATGCTGCGCTGCGCTAAGCTAAGCTAAACTAAGCTGGGCTAAACTAAGCTAAGCTGAGCTAAGCTAGGCCAGGCTAGGCTAAGCGAAGCTAAGCTAAGCTAAGCTAAGCTAGGCCAAGCTAAGCTAAGCGAAGCTAAGCTAAGTTAAGCTAGGCTAAGCTAAGATGAAATAAGCAAAGTTAAGCTAAAGGAGCACAACTGGGGGAACCGCGGGGCGGGGACCGGGGGAACCGCCCGGGGCGAGCCCCACTGCCAGGCCCCTTTAAGCTAACAGAGTAAGAACCTTTCTAGGCAGAGCCTAAGTAGGGAATAGCCCTCATGTCGATCTCTGCGAATGCCCCATTTCAGAAGCTCTCGGCGACCAAATCCCGAGATCCAGCAAAAAGCTGGGTGTGATAAGGAAACTCACGATGTCAGGCATTATCCCTCGCGGACATGTTGCCATCTTCTGGCTACGACGGCACCAGACAAACGGCAGCTTCGAGGATAGCCAGGCAAGGGCATCTGGCCGTGACAAAGGCGTATAGCAAGACGACGGAAAGCATAAACAACGAAAAGAAACAACATATGTCTGCTGAAACCAAACGGATGAGTTGATTCTATGGAATTCATTCTGCAGGACGAGCAGAGGATTGGCAGGAGGAAGGTCGGACTCGCTAAAAGAAGCCTCCCAGCACGCACCAAAACGACAATGTCCTCGTGCTCTTGCGTTGCATGATCAAGGGATCGTGCCTCCCGTCGCGCTGCGATACGCGTCGAATGCGTGTCGGATTCGCGTCGAATCAATGTCGAATCCGTGTCGAAAATGTGCCGGATCCGTGACGACTCCGTGTCGAACGCGCGTCGCATCAGCGTCGGAACCGCGTCGCATCCACGTCGGAGGACAAGAGAAGACTGCCACCTGCAGGACGGGTGCGGCCCCCTGAGGATGCAAAGCAGCATGCCCTGCCGCGGCACTCGCCCCTGCCTCATGCGAGGAGAAAGCGCCACCACCACCAGCACTCCCGAACACCCCGCCACCCGACCTGGTGGCACCCCCGCTACGGGCACTGTGTGGGGGCACGTCCGGCACGGGGTGCCACCACCTCGGGGAGGAGGAGCGGCCGGCCCCCCTGCCCAGACCCCCGTCGTCGTGATTCTTTCACAGCGTCGACCCCAAGAGGTCTGAACCCTCTTGAACGCATGAGAAAAGACCCCGCCCCCCACATGAGGAACTTTTGACGAATGGGACCGTCACACGACGCGCGGAAACAGCTCGACGGTCAGCCAACGACAACGCCGCGCAATTCGATGCGAACGGCGCGCTGCTGCTATGCTCATCCTGAATCGTTTTTTGACGGTCCCGAGGCCCCGGAAGAACCCTCGAGGAGGCCAGCAAATAGCCACAACAACAACAACAACAACGACAACAACGACAACGACAACGACAACGACAACAACACCAACGACAACGACAACAACAACAACAACAACAACAACAACGACAACAACAACAACAACAACAACAACAACAACAACAACAACAACAACAACAACAACAACGACAACGACAACGACAACGACAACGACAACAACAACAACAACAACAACAACAACAACAACAACAACAACGACGACAACGACAACAACAACAACAACAACGACAACAACAACAGCAACAACGACAACGACAACGACAACGACAACGACAACGACAACGACAACGACAACAACGACAACAACGACAACAACGACAACAACAACGACACCAACAACACCAACAACAACAACAACGACAACAACAACAACCACACCAACAACAACGACAACAACAACCACAACAACGACAACAACAAGAACAACAACAACAACAACAAGAACAACAACAACAACAACAACAACAAGAACAACAACAACAACAACAACAACGACGACAACGACAACAACAACAACAACAACAGCAACAACAACAACGACAACGACAACGACAACGACAACGACAACGACAACGACAACGACAACAACGACAACAACGACAACAACGACAACAACGACGACAACAACAACACCAACAACAACAACAACAACAACGACGACAACGACAACAACACCAACAACAACGACACCAACAACAACGACAACAACAACAACCACAACAACAACAACAACAAGATCCCGCCGTGATCTTCCCACAACGCGACGTCTGGGCAGCTGGGGGTCCTTCCTTGTCGAGTGAAAAGCAGCATGCCCTGCCGCGGCACGCGCCCCTGCCCCTGGCATGCGGTGCCCCCGCGGGCGCCTGCGGGGCCCCCCGGCCGGTGAGCTGCAGCGCCTCGAGCGCCTCTTGCGGGCGCCGCTGCCGCCCGGCGCGGCCCCCGGGGGGGGCAGATCGGCGGCGGATCCTCGTGGCCCGAGAGGGGGCCCAGCTGGGAGGGGGGTGGTGCAGCAGCTCTGGGGCAGCTGGACTGCAAGTGCATCGCGCGCCAGAGACTGAATTCGATCGCATCGTACTGCAACTGGATGTACTGCCTCGCCTCGCAACTCGTGTACTGCACGCGGGGGCAGATCGGCGGCGAGCCTGCGAGCCTCGTCAAAGATAACTCGAAACGCCGCTCAAATCGGGCACTCGTCAGAACATGCGCTGTTCGATGCCGCGAGGGCACTGCCGGATGTCGGACACCCCTGCGCGTGGGCCCAGCGCCTCATGCCAGCATCGAAGTAGCGCCGACCGCGCTAGCGCCGCAAAGTAAAGACCGAAACTGTATGTTCGACGAGTCCTGCAGGGGAGGGGCAGGGAGAGAGGGCAGGCCTTCTCAGGAGGCTCGGAAGTCCCCGGGCCTTCGGGGAAGTGTTGTGAGCCTTCCCCGAAGGCACTGAGAACTTCTCAGAGGGCGCGAGGGCTTCTGATAAGCCCCGCCGCCTTCTGAGGAGGCCTTTCTCCTTCTCGCTTCCCCCCTCGCTCGCCGCCGAGCAGAGCTTCCCGACGTTCTTCTGTCGAGGGGTGGCGAGGGGACTTCGCTCTTCGTGCCCAAGGCTCCCACGATACGAACTTGTCAGGCCGCTTTTTCTTAACTTTTCCAAACCATCCTGTGGTGTTGGGTCCTCGTTTTGAAGTGACAACGCCCCGCGTCCTCACTCCCGCTGCCCCCTCCCTCCCCTCCCTCACCCCTCCTCCCGTCCCCCCCCCCACTTTGGCACACCCCTCACACGTTTCGTGGATGGCCCCATAGGGAGCCCCGCCGAAGGCCAAAATGCCAGCGCTCGCGTCCGCCCACCACGCCCATTCTGGTACACCCCTCACACGAATCGTGGCCCAACAGGGAGCCCCACCGAAGACCCAAATGCCAGCCAGCGTTCGAATGCGCCCACCGCGCCCATTTTGGCACACCCTTCACACGCTTTGTGGCCCCACAGGGAGCCCCGCCGAAGGCCCAAATGCCAGCGTTCGCATGCGCCCACCTCGCCCATTTTGGCACACCCCTCACACGCTTCGTGGCTCCACAGGGAGCCCCACCGAAGACCCAAATGCCAGCGCTCGCATGCGCCGCCCACCGAGCCCATTTTGGCACACCCCTCTCACGTTTCGTGGCTCCACAGCGAGCCCCACCGAAGGCCCAAATGCCAGCGCTCGCATGCGCCATTTTGGCACGCCCCTCACACGTTCTGTGGCCCCACAGGGAGCCCTTGCGAAGGCCCAAATGCCAGCGTTCGCATCGTGGCTCCACAGGGAGCCCAACCGAAGGCCCAAATGCCAGCGTTCGCATGCGCCCACCGCACCCATTTTGGCACACCCTTCACCCGTTTTGTGGCCCCACAGGGAGCCCCACCGAAGACCCGAGAGAGCGTGATCCACCGCCGCTTTACTGTGGAAAATTGCCAACCTTTTCCTCCGGAACCCGGGGGTCTCCCCCCCCCCTCCTCCGAAAATCCCCCCCCCCTGCTAGAACCCCTTCCCCCCCCCCCCCCACCCCTCCCTCGCAAAACCCCCCCCCCTCCCCTAACCCCTCCCCCCCCCCCCCCTCCCCCTCGAAAACCGGGGGGGTCACTACCGGTTCGAACCCCTCCCCCCCCCCCCCCCCCCTCCGGATCCGGAAAACCGGGGGGGGTCACTACCGGTTGGAACCCCCCCCCCCCCCCCCCCCTACTCACCGCCAGCAAACGACTCCCGGTCCCCACCACCGTCCGCATCACATCCCCCACTGGTGTTCCCAGCACCACTGTCCTCACCACCGCTGTCCCCACTGGTTCCACCACCGCCCCTACTGTCCCCACCAGTGGCCCCACCACTGTCGCACTGTCCCCGCTGTCCCCAGAACTGTTCCCACCACGGTTCCACTCTCCCCACTGTCTCCACGGCCCCAACCACTGCCCGACTATCCCCACTGTCCCCACTGTCCCACTGACTCCTCCGCTGTCCCACTGAGCTGTCCCACTGTTCCCACCACTGTCCCCACTGTCCCCACCACTGTCCCCACTGTACCTCTGTCCCATTGTCCCACCGCCGTCCTCGCCACCGCCTTCACCACTGTCCCCACCACCATTGTACCCTCCACTGTCCCACTGTTTCCACCTCATTCCCATTGTCCCCACACCACTGTCCCCACCACCACCGTTCCCACCACTGTCCACTGTCCCCCCTGTTCCCACCATTGTCCCCACCACTGTCCCCACCACTACCGTCCCCACCGCTGTCCCACTGTCCCCCCACTGTCCCCACCACTGTCCCGCTGTCCCCTCACCACTGTCCCCACCAACACCGTCCCCACCACTGTCCGCACCCCCACTCGGTTTTCGAGGGGGGGGGGGGGTTCGAACCGGTAGTGACCCCCCCCCCTTTTCATGATGAACTGGGGGGGGGGGGGAGGGGAGGGGTTCGAACCGGTAGTGACCCCCCCCGGTTTTCCGGAGGGGGGGGGGGGGGGGAGGGGTTCGAACCGGTAGTGACCCCCCCCGGTTTTCCGCCAGCAGCGGTAGAACACGCTCTTTCGAAGACCCAAATGCCAGCGTTCGCATCCGCCCACCACGCCCATTCTGGCACGCCCCTCACACGTTTTGTGGCCTCACAGGGAGCCCCGCAAAAGGCCCAAATGCCAGCGCTCGCGTCCGCCCACCGCGCCCATGTTGGCACACCTCTCACACGCTTCGTGGCTCAACAGGGAGCCCCACCGAAGACCCAAATGCCAGCGTTAGCATGCGCCCACCGCGCCCATTTTGGCACACCCTTCACCCGTTTTGTGGCCCCACAGGGAGCCCCACCGAAGACCCAAATGCCAGCGTTCGGATCCGCCCACCGCGCCCATTTTGGCACACCCCTCACGTTTTGTGGCCTCACAGGGAGCCCCGCCGAAGGCCCAAATGCCAGCGTTCGCATGCGCCCAACGCATCCATTTCGGCACGGCCTTCACACGCTTTGTGGCCCCACAGGGAGCCCCGCCGAAGGCCCAAATGCCAGCGTTCGCATCCGCCCACCGTGCCCATTTTGATACACCCCTCACACGTATCGTGGCTCCATGGGAAGCCCCACCGAAGGCCCAAATGCCAGCGTTCGCAGGCACCCACCACACACACCCTTCACCCGTTTTGTGGCCCCACGGGAAGCCCCGCCGAAGGCCCAACTGCCAGCGCTCGCATGCGCCAACCGCGCCCATTTGGGCACACCCCTCACACGTTTCGTGGCTGGCCCCATAGGGAGCCCCGCCGAAGGCCAAAATGCCAGCGCTCGCTTCCGCCCACCGCGCCCATTTTGGCACATCCCTCACACGAATCGTGGCCCCACAGGGAGCCCCGCCGAAGGCCCAAATGCCAGCCAGCGTTCGCATGCGCCCACCGCGCCCATTTTGGCACACCCTTCGCACGCTTTGTGGCCCCACAGGGAGCCCCGCCGAAGGCCCAAATGCCAGCGTTCGCATGCGCCCACCTCGCCCATTTTGGCACACCCCTCACACGCTTCGTGGCTCCACAGGGAGCCCCACCGAAGGCCCAAATGCCAGCGTTCGCATGCGCCCACCACGCCCATTTTGGCACACCCCTCACACGCTTCGCGGCCTCGGTGAAAGAAAATTGCGGGTTTGGGGCGAGATTGCTAGAATCACAGACCCTAGGTTCCTTAATAAGCGTGGGGGGGTACCCCCCCGACGGGGGTCAACCTCGCATCGTCGTCGCGCCGCGACAGGGGTCGGAGCGCCTTCGGCGCGCGGTGACTGCCCGCGACGGGGGTCGATGTGGGGCTGTCGGCGGTGGTGACGCCCCCCCCGACGCCGACTAAGAAACTCGAAGTAGTGTTCCTAAGGCTTCAGCAAATGATACAGGCAGAACATGCAAGATTTGTAATGCAAAACCTAGAAACGTGTTCTGTGGTATATGCTGACATCCTTGCATATCTGGTGTGTGTGGTCTGAGTTCGACATGTAAGTGCGCGTGTAGACTTTGTCAAATGTTTGCAAGGGACTGTTGGAAAACGATCGTTTGCTATGAACGAATAGTCCCACCAGCCCTTTCGAGCGTGAGTGGTTCAGGGCGTTTCCTCTTCCAAACTCCTTCTTCCCCTGCGGGGAAGGGTTTATCACTGCTCCCTATTAATATACACCCCCTCCCCAAGGCGACCGGCGGCCAACCAGGAACCACAATCACCACCCCCACCACCCCTGTCAAAAAAACAATGCAAAACGCACTCTGCCTCCACATTTGGAGCATGCGAGACCAACCCGATGTGCCCTGTCAAAACACAATACACAGTACACTTTGGGGCAAATCTTGATTCATGTTCGTGAGGCCCGCGAGCACTTTGTATTACTTGTGACAGGGACGGCGGGGGTGTCGGCATATTGCCTGCTGCGCGCAGGGCTACTATCCTTAACAAACCACAATACAACATGCACCTCGCGGCTACATCTGGATAATGCGCGGCCACCCCGCGATCACTGTCAAATGGTGTTTGACAGGGACGGCGGGGGTGGTGGTGTATGGCCTGCTGTGCGCAGGCCCACCATACACAATGATGGGCATTGGGTTTCGACAAGGATGATGGGGGCCGACATGTTTCCCGATGTGTGCTGTCACGTGCGCAGGCGCCTCTGACACACTCTTCACGAGCCCCCAACGTGGCTCACCTGGCGCGGCTGGAGTACGCGGCACACACGGCGCACGCGGAGCACGTGGCCCATCTAGCGCAGCAGGCGTGCCTGGCACTCTCGGGCTCCAGGGGTGCCTGGCGCGCGTGGCGCGCCTGGCACGCGTGGCGCGCCTGGAAATGGCGCACCTCGCCCCAGCATCGCGCACATGGGGTCGGCTGTGGTTCCCATTAGCTGTCCATCCAAAGGCAACCGCTGAACATTCTCAGGC